AGTTCCTTCTTCTGTTGCTTTTTGAAGTGTGGATTCCTCTAATGGGGTTAAAGCTGCGTTTTGTGGCTTTAAAGTGGCATGCAAGTCTTTCATTCCAGAATTCATTAGCTCAGTAGCCTCTAGAATTTTTTCAAGTATAAGTTTGACATTAAGCTGTGGGCGGTGTTCCTCCATTTCTATAATGTTTACAGTCCTTTAGTGGAGGCTATTTTTAATAAGAGTCAATAACTATCCACTTCCACTATAAAGAGATATTTTCACCACCTAGCTGTTTCAAGTTCTTATCTTTTAGTTGCTGTCAAGGACAAATTTATTCCACTTGCTGTACCAAATTCCACCACTAGATGTCCCCAGTGACATACAAAATAGAGCTTTTTTCTGGTTCAAGAGAGGAAACAAAGAATATTCCTTTTTTTTCCGAGTTAACAAAAAAGTAAAGCAGTAAGTTTTTGTCGAGATACAGAGCTTTTAGGGAGCCCAGGTATCCAGATATTACAAGTCCAGGTAGGTGGTCATTTAATCTTGTTCCTTTTGTGTGTGTGTGTGTTTCTTGGCTTTATATTCCCGAAGTGAGCAAAAGCCGCGGAATTCAGCTGGGGGAAAGGAGTATTTCAAAATATTTTACAGGAAAGTAGTTGGGAAGGAGAAAAGGAAAAATAGGGTCTCACCCAACTCCTCCAGTTGCTTCTTCATGCTTAGTTGGTGCTTTAAGCTTTCGGCTGGTTCGACTAAGTGAGCTGCCATGTTAATGGCCGCTCTTTTCCTCTTCGGTCCTGAGGAGTTACTACAGATCAAACGGAGAGGCTGCTGCCCCTCCACGATCCAACAAGAGTTCCCCCCCAACGGTGGTTGCCCCTCCAGGGTGACTTTCGACCCTTTCCAGGGTCTTCCGAAGGAGAAAAACTGGTCGGCAGGGAGAGGGATCTCTCTGCGTGTCTGCCAGCATCGAAGACCGGAACCGGAAGCCTCCGAAATGTCGTACTTTTATAGAATTTAGGACTGGGGCAGATTGCAAGGCAACAATAAATTTTCTACTGTACATTTTTTCCCTCAGGTTAAGGTGGCAAAACAGAGGTTTGTCGCTCTTCTGTGTGACAGTGCAGAGAGAATGACAAAATGGCAGCCGCTTCCAAAAGTCCACCATATGGCCCACGGATGAATCCAGGACCCACTGAAAATGATGGATGCTTCCAGGTTGCAGTCATGAGGCCCAGGTATGTATGCCCTCCCCTCCTTTCCCAACATGAGGATCAGAAAAGGTGAGGGTGTGAGGCCTGGTGGGGGTGGTAGTCAGGATAAAGTGGATCATGGGGGGAACGAGAGGCCTGTGGTGACCCTGGGGGGAGGGAGAGAGAAATGACTGGGGGACACTGTGGAGGAGGGAAGCGCCGAGGAGACACAAAGGATGGGAAACAGAGCACAGAGTGCATTGGAGGGTGGGGGAGGCCTAGGATGCCTGAAGTAGGCAAGCCTGGGCCTGCGCTACGCCTCCAAGAATTTTCCCCAATCTTGAGGTAGCCAGTGTTCCCCTTAGTTACTCGCACATTCGATTAATGGCTGCATCAGGGACATCAGGGTAGTTAAGGAAAGCAGTTTCATTTAACAGCCATTGCAGCATGCAACCGTAATTGGCAGGCCATGACAGTTGTATCTTGAGGAGTACTTGTATGTTGGCTGAGGAATTCTGGGCCTCAAAATCTGGAGGAAACCAAGGCAAAAGACTGAAACTTCACATGTGGGAATTACATAATCAATATTCAAAACTACCACCCAGAAGCCTTTTTGAGCAATTCCACTACTTCTGCAAAAGGAAATATCCAGCAACTGCTGCTGATAAAAAGAAACTGGTAGTTAGCCTTTTTCCAATTTTCTTTTCTCTCCACCTACATGTTTCACTAGAATCAGGCCAGAATTCAAATAGTCAATTTCTCACCTACATTTTCAACGGGAGATCACAAATTAAATTATGCCTTTTCTAAACTCTTCAACTTTTGCCTCTTGTAGTTTTCCTCATGTACAATAAAGGATGATTTATCAGTGAAGTAACGTCCACAGATTGGATATTTGAAAAGTTTTTCTCCCGTGTGAGTCCTCTGGTGTTTCACCAGGTTGGACTTATGACTGAAACTTTTCCAACAATCCTGACACTGATACAATTTCTCTCCTGTGAGTCCTCTGGTGTTTCACCAGGTTTGAATTCAGACTGAAACTTTTCCAACAATCTGATACAATTTCTCTCCTGTGTGAGTCCTCTGCTGTTTCACCAGGCTGGAATTATAACTGAAACTTTTCCCATAGTCAGGACATTCAAAGGGTTTCTATCCTGTGTTGACTCCTCTGGTGTCTCATGACTTGGGGATTTCTAATGAAACTTTCACATAAACAGGACATTCAAAGGGTTTCTCTCCTGTGTGAGTCCTCTGGTTACTCTCTTATGTGGGCTCTTCCATGAACCACAAGGGAGCTGTTGTGACTAAAGCTTTCCACACATGTGGATAATTGTTAATGTTTTTCTCCAGTGTGGATGCTATCATGCATAATGTGTGATTTGCTATCTGTGCTTTTCCAACAATAGACACAACTCTGGAGCTTTTCCAAGCTGATATTTTTGAGGTTAAAAATATGGACAATCCCTTTTTTAGTGGTGCTTTAATTCAAGACATTTTCTTCCTCACAGGGCGAGGCCTGCATGACTCTCTGCTCTACGGGACTTTCCTACTCACCTTTTCCTCCAACTGACTTTCAGATATTTCCTTCTTTTACTAAATTAAAAATAATCTCACTTTTCATGTAAGGTATCCTTGAGTTTTGAATCATCTACTTATTCTATTGTGAAATCTTTCTTTTTTTTCTCTCTTTTGTCTAACAGCTGCTGGAGGAGGAGGAGGAGGAGGAGAATTCTGTGGTTTTCTGAAGGAAATGGAAAATATTTTGATTTCTGGCTCGGTTTCTCTCCTTTTTCAATGTTGCTTGTTATTCTTAGCTGTCCAGAGTCCTTTTATTGCCATCCTCTTTGTCTATAAGATTCAAAGAAAAGTGTAACTAAATGGTTAGAGATGTGAAAAAAAGAAAAATAAATACATTACAATGAAAAAGCAAACATGCCACAATACTAGAATAGTATTGGATAGATCCCAATGCTCTATCAGGATCCCTTTGGATCTTGAGCCTATTTATGAAGATGTTGAAGTGTACTGGGTCCAAGACCGAACCTTGAGGTACCCGATTGCATGCTTCTCTCCATGTAGATGTAGTTCCATTGATGAATACCCCGAGTGTGGATTCAATTGTGAATCCACCTAGGGCTGGTTCTATCTATCCCATGTTGTTCTATCTTACCAAAAAGTTAACTTGTGCTCTACCTTGTCAAATGTCTTGCTGACGTCCAAGTATACTATCTCCAAAACATTTCACAAATCCACTAATTAAGTTACTTCATATAAAATGGCAATAATGTTTGTCTGGCATCACATTCTTAACAAACCCATTCTGGCTTGTTATAGCTGCCCATCA